AGCGTATGAAGCGGAAGAACGAGGCGCCCCTGATCTTGCCCCCAGATCACCCGGTCCGGCGACTCTTCCAGAGGTTCCGACAGCAGAAAGAGGCCAGGCTGGCTGCAGAGCGAGGGGGCCGGGACCTGGATGACCTGGATGTAGAGAAGGGCAGTGTCCTCACAGAGCACGCCTCTGCCAACCACAGCCTGGTGAAGGCCAGTGTGGTCACTGTCCGCGAAAGCCCTGCCACGCCTGTGTCCCTCCAGACCACCCCTGCCTCTGGAGTGCCTGACCACGCCAAGCTGCAAGCACCAGGGTCCGAGTGCCTGGGCCCCAAGGGGGGTGATTGCGCCAAGCGCAAAGGCTGGGCCCGCTTCAAAGATGCTTGTGGAAAGAGCGAGGACTGGAACAAGGTGTCCAAGGCTGAGTCCATGGAGACACTCCCCGAGCGGACAAAGGCATCGGGCGAGGCCACACTAAAGAAGACGGACTCGTGTGACAGCGGCATCACCAAGAGCGACTTGCGCCTGGACAACGTCGGCGAGGCCAGGAGCCCGCAGGACCGCAGCCCCATCTTGGCGGAGGTCAAGCACTCGTTCTACCCCATCCCTGAGCAGACGCTGCAGGCCACCGTCCTGGAGGTGAGGCTGGAGCTGAAGGAGGACATCAAGGCCTTGAACGCCAAGATGACCAACATCGAGAAACAGCTCTCTGAGATCCTCAGGATATTAACTTCCAGAAGGTCCTCTCAGTCTCCTCAGGAGCTGTTTGAAATATCCAGGCCCCAGTCCCCGGAATCGGAGAGAGAGATTTTTGGAGCAAGCTGAGAGGTTCTGTTAAAAAGAAAGTCAAAGACAAAAACTGTCAACCCCGCCCTCAACACCACCCCCACCACACACGCCCACATGACCAACGATTTGCAAAGTCAGCTTATCCTGGCAGAAAACCACGTGGGGCCAGTGACTTAGGCATACGCTCTTTCTGAAAAAGATACGGGAAGGGTAGCATGTCCCCACCCTGCAAGATGGCAGCTGCATTCAAACTGTCTCTGCACAATTTTGGAAGAAGGGGCATGCTGTCTAAAGGGTATTTTCCTTCCTTTTAAATTTTTTACTACCTTGATATTTGTAAAAGATCAAAATGACCAGAAAAGAGTAGCAGCCGTTTAGGGGTTGGTGGGAGAATGCCAAGAGCCCCTCGTGTGTGTACATGCTGGGTTCCTCTGCCGAGACCCCCCACAGACGGTGGTGGGCCCAGCACTCCCCTCCTTGTGCAGTCCACGTCTGACACCACCGCAGATTGTTCTATAGTCATCATTTGTAACAAGCTCGGGACAAGGGGAGCTTGAGGGACAGGGAGAGTGGAGCCTTTCGACTTCCTGTCCTTCATGTTTAGGCCCCAAAGCAATGCAGGTGCCAGGCGTGCCTCCCATAGATGCTTAGAATCCTCAGGTCTCCTTTCTAAGAAGAAGTGGGCAAAGGTAGGATCCGGGGAGCACCCTAGCTTCCCGGATCTCCTGTGGTGTGGTCTGCAGCCTGCTTCCATAGGGTCGTTGTAGACGGGGAGAGATCCCAAGGCCCAGGGAACTCTCCTGGGAACCTCTGGCTCTGTTCCACGCCGCTGGCCTCCCCACACCGGCTCCTTTGCTTCTCCACCTCCTCAGTCTCTTCCCAAGTGTTCTCATGGCATGTCCTCAGGGTATGGAGCATCGGCAGGAAGGGTCTTGAGCCCAGAGTTGCTTTACTAACAAAGCAGACACACACTCACACACACAACCTCAGAAAAATGATTGTTGCAAGTGCTATGTTTATATTTTGATTCTCACCGGGATTGCCCTTCAAAAGTTTGTCTATGTCCACCGTACAAGGCCAGTAGAGGACACTGGGGAGCCATGCTGGTCTTATCTTACAGCCAACCTGTTTCCTACTAAAGTCAGGACTTCAAGAGAAACCAGGAAAAGACTGGCAAAGCAGAAGGAGAAAGGTGGCATGGAGCAGCAGTCACTGCACATGGGGACACACCTGGGATCAGGTTATGAATGTGGAGTTAGCCCAAGTGTCAGGACCCTAAATCCACCCTGAGAATGTGGATCTAGGAGAACAGGTGACAGTGTGGACTGCTCACGCAGGGCTCTGCCCTCTGCCTGTATCACACCTTCCCCGGCCCTCTGCTGGGCATTCTTTGCTGCCCAAATTCTGAAGCCCAGCATCAATTCCCCTCAGTACTGAAGATACTGAATGTTTCTGAACTCCTGTCTGGGCCTGCCCGTCTCTCCTCTCCTAGAGCTATTTAGTGGGCATGACACATTCCAGGACTCGGTCTCTCTTGGCTTGCAGGGCTGGCATAGACAGCTCTGGGGATCGGACCTGAGCGGCCAAGGGTAGAATCCTGCCCCAGACTTGAGCACACATGTAGCTCCCCAGATTAGGCGTAGCCCCCAATGGCACCATACAAAGACGAGGTGTAATTTCTCAAGGCCGAGTCAACGCTAAGACTCGGGGCAGAGACTGTAAAATACCTGGAACACCAGCTCCCCCTAAACACTCTGGCTTGCTACTCTTTAAACGTGCTTGTTAACCTGCTTCTACCACTTAAGACCTAGTACTTGTAAGCAGAGCCCTAACAGCCAATTTCAGATGTATCTGTCCCTGGAGCCTCATCGCTGTCTCTGCCTGTCTGGGGACTTGATGACTGACTCCTGCCCATTACCCCACTGGCTAATGTGGACAGACCCTGCCACGTCCTCCTGGCTCAACCTGAGTTAAGAAGTCACTGGAGCCGAAGAGCAAAGAGGCTGAAGCCTGTGTGGGCCAGACTTGTTCTGATGGGAAATAAAACTTCAGGAAAGCACTCCCGGACTGATGCAAATCAGGTGGAGTCTGACACTGCAGGGGGAACCTGCTCATCTCAGGGTCCCAGGCCACAGCTGCTGAGGGTGACAGAGCACCATGAGTGTGGCTGTAGATGCTTTTATTCTTCTCTAAGGATGTGGAGGAATTGTTTTGTTTTCTCTGAAAAACCATTTTAAAACGAGCCAACCTTTTATCCTTTCAGTGTCTGGACTTGCACTTGGCCATAGGGCACTTTGTGCTACTGTTCACCTGGGCCAGAATCGCTCTGGGCTCCTGCACAAGGGCCACAGGCATCCGCTCTATCATAGTAAGTCGTTATCTGGTGGCTGAAGGGAGATGTGAGAAAAAGTTAGTAGGTATTAGACTTTAGAAAAATTATGTCAGAGACAAAGATTTGCATTAATGCAATGCTACATTACACTAATAATGCGACACCATGGCCCGAATATTATAAGCTGTGCCCGTTTCAGCAGCCTTTTGGAAATACATTTCTTGCTTTGATTTCTTATTATACCTGCAACCTCCTAGATCCCCTGTCCTGGAGTCATCCACTTTCCAAAAGTGAGACTAGCAAGGCAAGGGATAAAGATGCCTTCCACCACCTCACCCCAGCCAGCCAGCTTCTACTCCCAGAGCCTCAGGTGGAAGGTGGACATGTTAAGTCCACTGTCGAGCTTTTGTTCCAAGCCAGTGGAATAACCGACAACCTCTTGGTGAAAGAAGAACATCGCACCCCCTCATCGCACTGCCCACCACATCTCACAGGCGCTCTGGGAAATTTAGACGCCCTGGTGGACATACAAGTTGCTGATGTGCATTTTGATTCAAAGATTGTACTATGTCTCGCAATAAAGACAGCCTTAAGACCCTTGAATGGAACTCCAACTATGAGGGAGCTGCCAACGCCCCTTCCTCTCTCCTCACTGGGTGTTGCTTAAAGAGGAGGCCCATTGAGGGCACACTTGAGCCCCTGGCCAGCTTCCCCTGCTGCCACTAAACCATTGTTAATGCTCCATATACTGCCTTTTCACTTGCTTCAATAAAAATTACCTTCACCAGCTCCTGTGGCCTCCACCTGGAGACTTCACTAACTGCGACCATCAGAGAAAGTACCGTTTTCTCACCAAAGGCATTCATGTTGAGAAGTTTTAATTTTCACCCCTCCCCCAAGGTTCATTCAAAAGAATCAATGTGAATTTACCTGCAGCTTAAATTAGTTTAGAAAGAAACTTATTCTCATGCAAGCATGTGAGACTTACTCTGGAACCTCTAGAACTGGACTTGAAAACCCTGCAAGGTGCTGGACCCCAGGGTGCCCTCCCCACCTGCCATTAAACTTTTTCTTTGAGCCATTGTCTCTTTATCTGTGACATCTGTGTCATACAACAGATCCCTTCCTTGTTCAGTGAGATGTTCACAGATCTCGGATCAGGATTTGGACTGCTTTTATGTTAAGAAGGAGGCACTGCCCCACCTCCATGAATGTATTCTCTTATGATTCGGAGGCTGCATCTCTGCATCAGTTGAAGGCTCTCCATGCCTGACTTGCCTGATACTGCAAGGACTCTTCAACTCAAGAGCAGTTCATCATCCTGGGGCTTCTCCTTGTATTAACACTC